GATAGAGGTTAGTGGTTTCTAGGGCTTGGGAGTGGGAAGAGGGAGGATAGATGTGACTATAAAGGAGTTGAATCAGAGAGATCTTTGTGGTGATGAAACAGATCTGTATCTTGATTGCAGTGGATGTATGAATCTACACATGTGATAAAATGCCACAGAACTATACACACCCATTATGCCACCGTCAATTTTCTGGTTTTGATATTGCACTGTAATTATATAAGATGCAACCATTGGGAGAAGCTGGGAGAAGTGTACGTGGGACCCTTTCTGTACTATCTTTGCAATTACCCGTGAATCTATCATTATTTCCAAATAAAAATTTAGAAAAATCACTTGACATGTAAGTGTGAGTCTATTTCTGTACCAGTATCGATTAGTACCAGTATCAATTGGTACCAATATCACCCTGTCATGGTTACTGTAGCTTTATAGTACAGCCTTAAGCAAGTGGAGTAAATCATCCAATCTTGTTTTTCTTTTTCAAGATGGCTCTGTATATCCTACTACACTTGCCTTTCTAGTTATATTTTTGAAACAGCTCATCTTTTTCTACATGATAAGATTATGATTGAGATTGCACTGACTCTACAGATCAATTTGGAGTTTGTTGACAGCATGACAATATTGAATCTTCTGATCCATAAACATTTATTTAAGTATTCTTGAATTCTTTCAGGAATGTGTTGCAATTTTGAGTGTACAGGCCTTCTACATCTTTTGCTACATTTATTACTAACAATTTTATGTTTCCTAATGCTGTTGGCAATAAAATTGTTTTAATTCCATTTTGAATTGTTTGCAGCTAGTATATAAAAATGCAATTGATCATTATATACTGACATTATTTCCTGCAACCTTACTAAATTAACTTATTAATTTAGTGGTCGTTGTTTTATAAATTCCTTATAATTTTCTGTGTTAGTAATCATGTCATCTGTAAATAGAGACAGTTTCACATCTTTCTTTCTCATCTTTTCTTTTCTTCCTTTTTTCCTTCCTTATTGCACTGGCTAGGGCCTTGGTACAACGTTGAAAAGAAATAACGAGAGTAAATATCTTTGCCTTGTTCCCATTTCTAGGGGAAAGTATTTAATGTTTTACCATCAAGGATGTTAGCTGTCGGTTTTTCAAAGATGCTCTTTATTGAGTTGATAAAGTTTTATTCTAATCTTAGTTTGCTGGGAGTTTTAAATCAACAATGGGTGTTGGATTTTGATAAATGCCTTCTCTGTTGACATAAATGATTATATGGGGTTTCTTTTTTTATTGTGTTAATATGGTGAATTACATTTATTGAGTTTTGAATGTTAAATCAACCTTGAATTTGTAAGATAAACCTCATTTATTCATGATATATTATCCTTTTTCTGCATTGCTGAATTTTCTTTTCTCTTTTTTTTTTTTTTTTGAGACAGAGTCTCCCTCTGTTGCCCAGGATGGAGTGCAGTGGCGCCATCTTGGCTCACTGCAACCTCCGCCTCCTGGGTTCAAGTGATTCTTATGCCTCAGACTCCCAAGTAGCTGGGACCACAGGTGTACACCACTGTGCCCAGGTAAATTTTTTGTAATTTTAGTAGATATGGGGTTTCACCATGTTGTTCATACTAGTCTCAAACTCCTGATCTCAAATGATCTGCCCACCTCGGCCTCCCAAAGTGCTGGGATTACAGTCATAAGCCACCATGTCCGGCCTGGATTTTATTTTGTATTAGTTGTTAAGAATTTTAAAAATCTAAATTCAACAGAGATATTGGTCTGCAATTTTTTTTTAAATAATTTTTTTTCAGGTTTTGGCATCAGGGTTATATTAGCCTTATAAAATGACTTGAGAATAATTTCTTCCTCTTTCTGAAAGAGTCTGGGTAAGATTGTGCTATTTTCCCTTAAATATTTGATAAAAGACACTAGTGAGGCCCCCTAAGCTTGGTGTATTCTTTGTGGGAAGGGTTTTAATAATTATTTCTATTTTTTTAAGACATAGGGTTATTCTATATATCTTGCATCAGTATTTGTGAAGTGCATTTTTTTTCAAGGAATTTGTTAAGTTCACTTAAATACTTGTCAAGTTTATTAGCATAAAGTTCTCCATAACATTCCCTTATCATCCTTGAATGTCTGTAGGATTTGTGGTGTATTCCCTCCTTCAATTTTGACATTGGTCATTTGTGTACTCTTATTTGTTTCTTAAGCAATTACGCTAGGTGTCTGTCAAGTTAGTTCATCTTTTAACCAACCAACTTTTGGACTTCTTAATTTTTTCTATTGTTTGTCTGTTTTCTATTTCATTGATTTGTGCTCTGTAGTGTTTCCATCCTTCTACTTACTTTGCTGAGTTCTGTTATGTTTTTCTGAAGATTATTTTCATTTGTTTGTCTGTTTGTTCCATAGTCAGCAAACGTGGCTGGATTCAAACTCAAAACTCTGTTTCTCCTAAGTGGGCAGTAACAGAATTCTTAGTTCAGTTTGTTTAGCCCTCACTGGGCTGCTCAGAGTATGCCTAATCTATGCATAGTTCAGGGATTTGCCAGGATCGTGAACAGACTTCATACACAGAATTTAGAATCCCCCTCCTACGGCTCTCTCCTTTCTAGGATTCGCTCTTTCATTTTGCAGCTGCTGTGGGCATCCCAAACTCTGCTGGTTCTTCAGTACATTAAGGCTGCAGGTTTTCCATCTGAGTTTTAGTTGTCTTACTTGGCTTCAAGTGGGGTCTGCCCTCAGATGAAACTTCTAAGCAAAGGAAAACTCACCAGTGCTTTTTCCTTCTTCCCTGTTCAGGTTTCATTTCCCTCCAGTGTGGACCTGCTTTTGGCTGCTTCTAGTGCTTTCAGGCAGTTGTTTCTTTGCATTTTGTTCATAGTTTATAGTTGTTATTTGCAGGAGGGTTGATCCAGTAGGAGCTTATTCTCCATTATCAGAAGCTGTAAGCTCTAGTTTTTTTCACTTTTAATTTCACTCCTCTCCCTGTGTCTGATGGTTCTGTTTGTAAGTAGGAATTTGGCTAAATTTCTAGTGCCAGGAGCAAAACCAAGGTACTTACATAACTCAAAAACTAGATCAGTTGGTTTCTGGGTAACTGAGCTTACTATATCAACAGTCTTTCAAAAGTAGAACTCCTGCTTCATTGTACTGTAGGAGCCCATATCTAATTGGGAAAGACTAACTCTAAGCAAAATTGGGAAGTCCATTTAATTTGTCCTCTTGGAATTTATTCTTCAGCACCTCTCCCCAGAGTCATTATGGTTCCTTCTGCCTGGGTAGAAATGCCCCCTGGATCTCTATATTTTTCTCTCCATGGGCAACGCTCTATGTTCTTTATCCCCTCTCTTGTAGCATCTGACTCTCTCTTCCTTCCCGCCACTCCTGGAGCCTGGTGTCCCTTTGCTCAGTTGAAGCTAGTAAAGGGACTGAAACCTAGTTCTGTGGCAGTGACAATGGGCTAATGTGCTCTCTTTCACAAGATAAATATCCACAGTGACTACCCTGAAACCATAGAATGAATTACAGAAAGTAGAGTAATCCAGCCCCTTCATTTTCACTGTTGAGAAAGTGGATTTCCAGATAGAATAAATGACTTGTCTAAGGTCATGTGCTAGTGGATTTGGGTCTAAAATCCTCATTCCTGACTATGAGTTGGCTCAGGAATGGCTTCAGGCATCAAGTCCAGTAGCAGGGTGTGAAAGGTGACAGCACTGCTGCCTTCTGCATGGCTGGCTTCACTCCTAGACATCAGCAGTCAGCACTCAATTACCCAGTCTGTTCACAGTGTTCCTACTGTATGATGAGAATTGATGAAAAGAAGTGAGGATGTTTTCCTGAAAAAGAGAAAACTGAGAGGGGAATATATCAAAGCCTGAGTGGGAATATAGGCACAATCTGTGTAGTTCCATTCAACGGAACCATGACCGATGGATTAAAGATGCAACCATTTTCAGCTTAAGACAAAGAAGGATTTTCTAACAACTAAAGCTGTCTAAAAATGGAATGGTGGTTGTTAAATTTCCTTGGAGCAGCAGATAGTGAATTCTGTACCACTGGAAGCTTTCAAATAAGGCTCAACTGGGACAACTTGGAAAGGGTCCCTTTATTGTATGGGAGATTAGAATAGATTCCCTCCTAGTCTTTAATAATTGTTGGATTCTAGGTTTTGATGCTGAGAGACCTTTTTGTGCTCATTGACATCATACAGCACAGACACCAATACACCCTCTAGAGAGAAAAAGGCCTTCTGGATGCCCTAATACATGTGCTCCCTCTCCCAACCCATACACATGTGATTTGGTATTGATTGATTTGGTGGTGTGGCCGTGTGGTGAGGGGTGGTTTAGTGTGGGGTGGTGTGTTGTGGTGTAATGTGGTATGATAGGTTGTGGTCTGGTATAATGTGATGTGGAGTACCATTGTGTGGGGTGAGGTGATATACTGGGCTGTGTTGTGGGGTTGTATGATATGATATGAGAGGAATCATGGTCACAGTCTTCTAGCAGTTGTGCGACTTCATTGAGACAATGACCAAATTGCATTGGAGTAATGTTGGCAGTCAAGAGGAAGTGCCAATTTAGTGATTTCCTTAGCAGAACTGGCTGCATCTTTTACAGAAAGCACGTCTTCTTTGTCATCCTGAGGCTAGTCTGTGGAACAATTTGGCAGTTGTAGTATTTTATGTCATACAAAGTGTACAGACATCAGGCCACATGCAGCACCTCTCACCCATCCATACTACCCACTCCGTCAACTACAGGGCAGAGTAAGGCATTAAACTGAAACTAAATCATATCTATTATATTGTAGTTTTTTAGAAAGTGAGTATTTTAAAGTTTCTGCTATAAAACAAATCACAACTCACCTGCCATTTCTGATAAAAGACAAGCAGTTTTCAAATGTGCTCATGGCATCTGGGTTTGCGGACTAGAAGCTAATCAGCCCCAATCATTGCACCAATGTTCTCCCAGGAACTTCCAAGACAGGCTGAACTTTGCCAAGGACCGTAGGTTTTAGACCTTTATTCATTTGTTTTATTTGCATATTTTTATTACATAAAACTTCTTGCACAACACATTTGGGAACTGTGGGTTTAGAACAAGTTAGACCCTAAGTTTTTGGTCTCAGTTTCCTTTTCCTTTGATAGATCTTTATTCACCATATGAACAGATTCACCAAAAAAAATCAGTATTTTGTTTTGGTTTGGTAGGCTTTAGCTAAATAGCTTGAAGTGTTTCAGTGGTAACTGTCCTAAGTCTTTCGAATTGCTCCTTTTGAAAGAGAGCAGATATTAGGGAAAAAAAATCAGTGCCTACCCTGAAAGCCTGTGGCACCAAATGACAGTGTGATTTACTGGAAGGTAGTCTGAAGGGGTGGGATAGGAAGGGACAGGAGAAGGAAAAAAAAAAAAGAGACAGGGTGATTGGACAAGAAGGAGGGAAGGGGATGAGAGAGAAATAGGTTGGGAGGAGACAGAGAGAGACAGAGAGAGACTGATTTAACTTCTTAACGCTCTCTGTTAGTCTACCCACTTTGTTTCCATTGCTATCACCAAGTTCAGACAAGGAGAGTTAAGCTCAACTCAAAAAGAGCAGCCGTCTCCCTGGTTTCCCTCTGCCTATAATTGTGCCTCCCTCGGTTCCATTCTTCCCATGGCCACTAGAGTGATGATCTCCAATGCAAAGGGCTGGCGAGGTCTATTCCCTGCCTCAATTTCTCATTGTTCACCACATCCCTGCTACCGCCACTTGGCTGAGAAGCATCCAAGGACCAAACTTGATGAGTATCACTGACAAATTCAAGGAGCCTGGAGGTGAGGGGTGGGGGTGGTGACCTTTGATTGCCCTGGAGTCTGTAGCCTCAGCTCCCTGTGGGCAACCTGGCTTCCAGTGGACACCTTGACTCTCCACATCTTTCTCTGAAGGGACCTGGTGTCCTGTGAATAGTTGGACAGGGTGAGAACTTGGCCTCCAAGGAAGAAAGTTGGAGAGGAAATGCCACTTGCTTTTGTTTCTTCTTGGCTCATCTCAAGGTCTTTAAGCAGATACGTGTTCTGCATCATCATTTACACCTGAATATTTCCAGTTCGTCTCATTTATAACTAAAAGGAAAATATGGTTCCTGCTGCAAGGTGCTAGCTAAATGCTCTGCCAGGAATATTTAGAACAACCAAATGATTGTCTATCAATGGATCATCGTGGTTTTCCTTAATGTGTTCACTACATTAAAACATGTACTGCTCGAAACGTCCCACAGGAGACTGGTCTTTTCCAAGGATGACTGGTTCCCTCCCTCCACCCCTCCCACCCCTCACATCATGGAACACTTCTGCTCCGCTGTCTGCTTGATTTCAGTGAAGGTGGCCTGGGCTTTTTCTTTTATGGTATCCAAGTCCATGTTCTGGAGATTCTGTATCTGCCCAAGAATAGAATCTTTATCTTCTTCCTCTTCTTGATCTTCATTTACCATTTTCCGGAGATCTTCGGGTAAATCCACATCATCTCCAGCCATCTGGATTTGATTCTCATCCATTTCACTCTATGTTAAAAATAAATAGAGAGAGATAAATAACTCTAAACCTACTAACTCAGCAACTAACTCAGCAACTAAATACATTTTAAAAAGCAGCAGGAAGAAGTCTGTAGAGAATAAAGGAAGTGAGTGGCACACTTGGCCTTGCAGTCAAGCCTGGTCCTGGTGGCAGTCGTGGAGGCTCCTGTAGGGACGTCCCTCCTTCATGGCACCTTGGGTCAGGCTCCTGTAGGGACGTCCCTCCTTCATGGCACCTTGGGTCAATCAGAACCTTGCAGTATGGCGGTTCTCCAAGTGTGGTCTCTGGACAAGCAGCATTAGCATCATCTAGAGCCTCCTGGAACTACAGATTCTTGGGCCCCATCCCAGATCCACTGAATCAGGCACTCTGGAGGTGGAGTCCAGCCATCTGGATTTTTTTTTTTTTTTGCTTGTTTTTTTTGAGAGGGAGTCTTGCTCTGTCACCCAGGCTGGAGTGCAGGGTCTCGATCTCAGCTCACCGCAACCTCCGCCTCCTTGGTTCAAGTGATTCTCCTGCCCCATCCTCCTTAGCAGCTGGGTTTACAGGCATACACTATCAAAACTTGGCTAATTTTTTGTGTTTTCAGTAGAGACGGGGTTTCACTGTGTTGGCCAGACTGGCCTCGAACTCCTGACCTCAGGTGATCCAACCACCCCGGCCTCCCAAAGTGCTGAAATTACAGGCGTGAACCACCACTCCCAACCCAATCTGGATTTTTAAGAAGCCCTTTCTCTCTGTGATGCTTATACACACAAAAGCTGGGGCATGACACCCCAACTCTGCCTAAGGGCAGCTTTCCAAGTCTTGCAGACTCTATCAGGCACATGCCAAGATCCACTCACCTGGTTGACCCCACTCTAAAGGATGAGGTTTCAGTTTATAGTGACTACACAGTATGCATTAATTCACTCATCACACCTTAGTGGCAACTTTTGCTTAATCATTGCTCTTTTCCTCCCTTCCACTAGACAGGGAGCCCCTGACATGGGCCCTTGTCAGATTCAACTCCACCGTTAGCACCTGAACTGGAGTCTGGCCCACAGCACACATGTATTAAGTGAACCATCAAGTGCATGGCCCCCACTCAGCATCCTGGCAGTCTAGCCTTCGGTGTTGCTGATGCTATCACAAGTGCCTTGCACATTTCATTTTGTGATTCTAGGAGTGTCTGTTCCAGAATTTCTTAGTGCATGCTGCCTGGTCTTTGAGATTCTTTTATTTTTATTTTTATTTTTATTTTTATTTTAGACAGGGTCTATCTCTTTCACCCAGGCTGAAGTCCAGTGGTGCAATCTTGGCTCATTGCAGCCTTGGCCTTCTAGGCTCAAGCGATCCTCCCACCTCAGCCTTCCACGTAGCTGGGACCACAGGTATGCACCACCATACTCAGCTGAGACTGTTTCACCACTTAGACTGTGAAGCCTCCTGTTCTGTAATGAGAGAGGAGTCTAAAGAAAACCATTCTCTGGGAAAGGTTAACATTAGCTTACATCCCCAGATGGCTGCTGTCAGATTTTTTGGAGATCAGGTTGTAACATGAGGTGACCTGGGTTTCAGGGAAACAGAAGATTAAAAAGAGTGTCAGAAAAGCTAATGAGAGGAAAGATCTATGTTAGAGCCACCTGAATATGTTGTGACCAGCCTTAAATTTGTTACCAAAGCTCATGAAAAATCATATTAAAAAATGATGATCTAAGTCAATCAGACTACATTGTTTTAAGAAAGATTTCTGCACCTGGTGACTTCTGAGGTGGAGTTAAACACAGCACCTAAAGGGAGATCTGAATTCCCCCTGTCTGGGTGCTGCGTAGGAATGATTGGAAAGAAACATCAGTTGTCTCTAGGTCCAAACGGCACACCAGGGTAACCTGTAAACTTCCTTCTTCATCTGTAAAGTGGGTTGTAAAGACTTCAGATGGCTGAAGTCTTTTCCAGTTCTAACTGTCTGTGGCTCTCTTACTTGGAGGGGCTGAAGCCCAGCAGCCTTTCCTCAGGGCTCTCTTCTTTGATTCGGTTCCCTGGGCAGAGTGACACAGGAACCTGGCTCAAGAAATAGCTTGAGAAGCAGATTTCTGATGCAGGGGGAACCAATGATTTTGGGAAGGACAGTCCTCACCGAGGCCCTCCTTGGAGACCCGGGAGGACAGTCCCACTCCGCGCCAGCCTCCGGAGATGTGAAGCCTCTCCCTGCTCTTGGCCAGGGCCTTGGGCCCTCCAAGTGCTTAACGGATTAATTAGTTCCTGGTCAAACTGTTGTGGGATTAATTAGTTAGTTAATCCCTAGGGGCTCCCAGCCAATTGTGCATTTCTATTTATTTTTTATTTGCCTTCCCTAGCAGCTGCTTTCCTTGCTGATCATCTTCTGGGCCTTTTTGCAGGAAGGAGAGGAAAAGCACAAGGTGGCCGACTCATTCTCAGTTCACGCAAATGTGGGACATCTGCCCTCTCTTATGCATCCTGACATCAAATGCAAGTGATTTGAAAAGACATTCCCAGGAATTCTGGCCCCTTCCCTCAGGTTGGTAGTAAGATCCCCAAGCATGTCGCCAGGTTTGAACCTGGACAGGGTAACTGTCGTGGGCCTGCAGGGACGGGCAGCTAGAGGGGCCAAAGGAAAGCCAGCCAGCCAGCCAGGGTTACAAAACACTGAACACACTCGCGAGGGCTCACGGGATGGTGCTCGCCTGCCTCCCATTCACAGGGAGACCTCAGCAAGGCCACTCTCTATGGCTCTGCTGTGCTTGAAGAAGCTTCGGGATGGTTTCCTCTTTCAAGGGCGACTCTGAGGTTTATTTTATCCTTGTGCCTCTTGCTCAGGGAAGCAAGAGCAGTGCAATTCTACGTTGCCTCATGAAGAGGATCTTGATTGCCCTAAGTTTTATCAAAGTGGTTCTCAAAGTGTGTTCTCTAGGCCAACAGCATCAGCATCTTTTGGGACCTCACTAGAGATACACATGCTGGGACCCTACTCAGACCCACTGATTCAGAAACTCAGGGCGCAGGCCTCACAATCTGTGATTTAACAAGTCCTCCTGGTGATTCGGGGGCTTGCTGAAGTTTGAGAACCACTGCTCCACATTCTTGAAGACAAAGGCTGTAAGTTACTCATCTTTCTGTCTCATAGCCCAGCAAAGTTTCTGGCATGTAGACACAAAGAATTAAATCTTTACTGAATAGCCGGGCATGGTGGCTCAAGCCAGTAATCCCAGCTATTTGGGAAGCTGAGGTGGGGGGATCACCTGAGGTCAGGAGTTCAAGACCAGCATGGCCAAATTAGTGAAACCCTGTCTCTAATAATAATGCAAAAAATTAGCAGGGCGTGGTGGCACACGCCTGTAATCCCAGCTACTCGGGAGGCTGAGGCAGGAGAATTGCTTGAACCTGGGAGGCAGAGGTTGCCGTGAGCCAAGATTGCGCCACTGCACTCCAGCCTGGGCAACAGAGAGAGACTGTGTCTTAATAAATAAATAAATATTTTCAAAAATTAAAATAAATGTTTACTGAGTGATTCAATGAACCTATTGTCAGGGAAGATAACAGCCTTAACAATATTTAATTTGTAGGTTCTCTTTGCTATAAAGAGCTCTGTTTTCATAGCTACCGGTTTATCTTTGTAATCCTGTTGGGGCATCGCAGACTAAATTGCCTGAGTGAGAACGTTCGTTCTACCACTTACAGGATGGGTGACCTGGGACACTTTGTATAGCCTCTTTGAGTTTTATTTCCTTGTCTGTATGTGGAGAATTGCATTATTTGCCTTAGAGCTGTCGAGGGTTGATTAGATGGTAACTGAGTTATTTAGAATCTGTTAAGCACTCACCCAGTAGTAGTTATTCATAAAAATAAGAGCCTTCAGAGGTGGACGGGGAATTTACTGTGGGCAATCTTGCACATGGGGTTAGCCCTCTCAGGAGGCTGTGATGTCCTGGCACCTTATCTCTGACCTAGCAGTGACTCCTACCTTCACTCAAAGCCTTGGTTTTTCTAACAAGCCAGGCTTAGTCATTTCCTCTTTAGCACTAGGCTTTCCATTCTAAGAGAAAGCTACCTAGCCAGCCCTAGCTCCCCTTACCTCTTTTCGGGCCCACCCCTAATTTTTGTGAATGGTAAAGCACAAGTGCTGATAGAACTTCCTGGCTCACAACCTGGCCCTCTTTTTTCTCCAGTTCCTGGCTCCAGCCCTCACTGGGAAGGGCCTTGGGACCATGACCCCTACCCCACTCCTCAGGCCTAGTCTGCCTGGCCACTCTCAGGAGAACAGATCTGCATCGGAGGCCTGGGAAGGCTCTGGAATGCACTTAGGCAGGGCGTTTGGGGTCCTGAGCAGCTTGAGCATGGTCTACAAGAGGGGTGTGACTCTGCCTGGTCTAGGCCCTTTGGCCCACAGACTCTTCACCCCATGTGAAAGAGGGTGGCTAGAAGAGAGACCAGAGCCCTCTAAAACATGGGCCGCAGGGCAGTGGCCTCAGATGTCCAGGTCCAAAGACAGCATTGGATGTAGTCAATGGCTTTGGTCAGAGAGTCCTCCACTCACCATTGATCTAGAAGGACAAGGCTACTGGCCCTCCCCCAGAGCATGGCTGCTTCTGGAGATGATTCTAGTCTTGAAACTGATTACTGTGGGCTGAAGCCTGTGCCATGGAAACCTTATGACTAAAGGTAGGACAACCAGACAAGGCTGTTGAGTGGCTAGAGGAGAAAATCATGCCCTCTGGAACCAAATGTGGGCCTGTAGCCTCGTTAGCTCTGGATCCTAACTAATTGAGCTAGCCCTAGACCTAGAACTGGCTAAGTATTCAAGTGTCTCCTTTGTAAAAAGCTGCAGCCTATCCAGACCGTTCTCCTGCCAGAGGTGGCCTAGGAGAACGAAAGATTGTGTGATTTGGAGCTAGACATGGGTTCGAGTCCCAGATCTGTCATTCACCAATGCATGACCTTGGGCAAGTCAATTTATGTTTCTGATGTCCAATGGAAGGGCCGCTTA